TTCTTCAGCCCACCAGTGAGCCACAGCACCCCAAGGTAGCTGGAGAGCACAGGATCCCCAGTAGGTAGGGTCTGCAGCCCCTTCTAGCCAGAAGAAGCTATAGAAGACAGAGACCTCTACTCCCTCAGCACTCCATAAAGAATTGTGGGGATGTGTGTCTCTTGGGAGGAAATAATATAGGAAAGTGGGGCGTGGCAAAGCTGGCTGGAGGTGTGGCACACACATGCGCAGAACAGTTTTCAAAAATCGCTGCATGTGGACTTCTTGGGAAAACTCGAGGAGGTGTACCTCACCTGAGGGGTGGGACCTCTGCACTGCCTCTCAGGACCCAGATGCAGAAGTGGTCATGGGTTTCCTCCAGATTTGGACAGCACAAAAGGATACATCGACTCTGTTGGGCCCTGTTCCTAGAGCTCCAACCCTCCCCCAGCCCCCTCAAATGGGTACACGGAGAAGTCCTAAAGCAGTGAGGCAAATGGCATGATTTTTAGGGCTCCAGTTCATGGCTCTGCTAGCTGGCCGATAGCCTGTATTTAATCAGAACAAGGAAGAAGTTGAGTGGAAAATGCAGGAAACCTGAGCGGGATCTTGGGAGGGGTTCAAGGACCCCTCAGCGCAACAGATGATGCTAATTAAGGAAAACTACCCAGAGGGTCTTCAGGTGGCCTCAGCTGTGGCCTATCATGCCCCCTGAGGTGTCTCCAGGTTCTCTTTCAACTGCACCCACGGCACACCACAGCCCCAAATGTGTATTCAGCTTCAGTGGCTCCTACATGATACCCTGAAGGCTTTGTTAATCATAACTTTTAATTTTGCTTTTATTTTTTTTTCCTCTGGTTCTGCCTGCGTTTGCTCTGTAGAGCTAATTTCTTGCATCCCATTTATGCCTCACTTTACACAAACTTTTGGCACCATTCTTAGCTTGTCTTGTCAGTTCTTCATATGAGATGAGAGGAACCTGGAATCTAACTTCAGGAGGAGAGGCAAGCAACCCAGAGCCCAGCACGTGTTAGTTGATGAGGTACTTTGAGAAGCAGGCCAGCTGATAAAAGCTTCAGAAACTTTAAATTCCTAGGCATCAACCTAACCAAGATGCCATTTTTGTGGATGTCTAAACTGTGTTGGTTTTATCTTTTTGTGAGGGAGTCCTTTAACTGAGACACTCCCCAGTGCTTCATTACATAGGATATAAACAGTTGAAATAAAGTCCCAGTGTTGCCGTGTTCCTCACCATGTGAATCTGTGGGGCTCCAGACAGCCCCATCCTTCCCACTTCCCATACAATGATGGTTCACTTGCAGCGATGCCCCTTTCTTTGCCTGTTTTCTCCTGCATCCACAGTGTCACCTCTGTCTCTGGTCAACACAAGGTCCCCCTCAAGCTGTCTCCTTCTGTCTACCCTCTTTTCACAAAAATCCCACTGCAGCCTTGCAGCTCTGGATTACTTTTATCTGTTTGTAGCAAATCTGGCCCTGATGGTGGAAGTTTCTAGAACTTATATATAGAAAAGCATTCATTAAAACGTAAGCAAGATAAGCTCCACCAAAAAATGTTCAGGTGACATGGGAACCACAAAGTGGACCACTGGATATATTCTTCAAAAGTTGCCATGTCATAAAAAAGTCTGAGAAACTCTTTTGAAGGGAACTAAGACACATGCTAGCTAAATGCAATATGAGTGGGATTTCAGACTGAATCCTCTGAAAAGGTTTTTTGTCTTTTTCGTTTTTATCGGTACCAGGGATCAAACTCATAAGCCACTGAGCTAAATCCCCAGCCCTGCCAAGTTTTTTTTTTTTAAAAAGCACAAGTATACTATGGGGTAAGTTGACAAAAGTAGAATATGAATGAGATCAGCCAAAAGTTTTATACCTGCCTTAAATTCACTGATCTAAATAATTGAATATATAACAAAACTTTTGTATTTTTTGTTAATTTTATAACATGTTGCATTTCACTGTGGTGTTTTCATACATGACTGTAAGATATTTTGGTCAGGTCCATCTTCCTGTCACCTTCCTTAACACTCTCCTCCTCCCCCTTATTCCTGGCTGTCTTGTCTGATAATGGCATCCCTTTCGTTGTCATGTAATTTTTTAAGATTCCACATATTTGGGGAAACAGGTGACGCTTGACTCACAGAGTCTGGCTTACTTCATGTAAAATGATTACACCAAAAAAGTCTTGGCATATGAAGAAATCTTTGAGAAAAAAGTACGTGATCAGTGACATGTATGTGACACACAACACATGCAGGAAGAAATGCACTTTTCGTGTATTGGAGAGAGAGAGAGAGAGAGAGAGAGAGAGAGAGAGAGAGAGAGAGAAGAGGGAGAAGAGATGTGTATGTGTCCAAACCTTAACAATAGGTAAATCTGGAAAAAGTCTCTTACTGTTTACCATTCATACAACTTTTCTCCAAGCTGGTTGCATTTCTAAATGCACTGCTGGGTTGTGCTGAGCTCTAACCTTGCCGATATTTTTTGCTTTAGTCCCACAGCTGCCCCCATAACACTCAACCCTCATGAATGCTTAACTCCGGCTTTGAAAGTATCTCAGGTTCTGCTCCAGGAGAGAACCCTAGATCCTTTTTCACTGCTGACGCGCCTAACATTTCAGCAATATTTTCCTAAATACTGGAAAAAACCCTCCTACTTTTTCTTAATGACACACAGTGTAAGAGAAAATGACAGTCTCAGGAATCGTATTTATACCATGTAATGCATGTCATTCCTAGGCTTGCTCTCTGTGTCTCACTGGCACGTGTCTTCTGAGGTTTGTGGGAGAAGGTGGCTTGCAGGTGCTCAGTCTGCTGTGCTAAATAACTTACCTCTCCTTCACCAGATTTTTATTCTCTAAAAATGTGATCACCCTCTTCATCTTCTTTCCTGCTTTTATCATCCCCCAAGCACCCATCATTTTTAATCTTTAACTTTATAAGTTTTATTGAAATACAATTCATATAATATACAATTCTACTAGACCACCCCTAATTTTCCCCTTCTCCACCTCCCAAGACCACCACAGACTGATGACCAATCCTTTAAAACCTAAATCCGGGTCTAAATGGTAACAAATTATCTGATAGAGTGATGGCTCTGCTCTATCGTAGTGTGAAAGTTGAGAGGCACCTTCTGGTGCAAGCTAAGATGAAGATACGTGGGAAGTTATACAGTTCTATCTGCTCCTAATATCCTGAAACATTCTTGTAATAAAAAGCTTTTAAAAACAAAAATGTCAGTTGGCTCATGTGTGAAAAGGGAAAGGTTACAAAGGATGCCTGACAAGTGCCGGTCTAGAGTGAGCTGTCCCTCCAGAAAGCATCCCTCACCTTTGCTGCTGCTTGTGCCCTGGGACTCACCAAGGCTTTGTCTTCCCCAGAGAACTGGAGAGTCTGATTTCTAAGCACAGCACTAACCTTCAGATACTGCAGAGCCAGTGGTATGGATCTAGATGCAAACAACTCTGGTACAATGAGGGGACTATAGTGTATGTGTATTTTTCTGGTTTTTATTTTGACACCCAGCATTGTTTTTTCTGGAAAAACCAATTCAAAAACCTTTTGGGAAATTCAAACTATCAGTCCCTGGATGTACAAAGAGAGTTCCTGCTGTGGCTTGGATCTAAAATGTTGCCCTCAATTCATGTGTTTATAAGGGGGTTGAGTTCAGTAGCTGAATGTGCTTTCGGGAGCTGGGTCTGGTTGGATGTGAGTGATGCCCCAGCGAGGACGTGTTCCTGTCCTCTGTTTCCTGGCTGCCATGCAGTGAGAAACTTGCCTTCACCATTCCCTTCCACATTTCTGCCTTGGAACCAGCCAACTTTAGAGTGAACCCACTGAAACTGTGAGCCAAATAAGCTTCTCCTCCTTAGGTTGTGGGTGTTGGGTGTTATTCTCAGCAGTGGGAAAAAGGTAATACAATGGTCTTCCCATCAGAGCACTGTTTCTACAGTGGATGAGTGCAAAGTCTTGACAGAGGGTGTCTGGTATAGATGCATAGGGAATTCCTAAACTCTGTAACCCTGATGTTGAAACATGAACTGCAAAGGATCTGAGTAAGACCTGCCATGACTCTGCACCAAGACCACAGAGATCAGAGTGGCATGTCCATGCTGATGAACAAGCTGCACACACTATGGGAGGGCACTACATGTCATTAACAAGAACAGATGGAAGGCACCACATTCACCTCTCCTAGAGAGGGAGGCAAGACTGACATCAGCCCTGCGATATTTAATGCTGGTGTGGTGGTAGGCTCTGCGGCCCTCTGACCAGCCTCAAGGAAGTGCTGACTGGGTCGTGTCAGGAGATCAGGAGATCGCAGGAGCAGTAGAAGCATGAAATGTAGCTGATAGGGATAAACCTTTCTCCTCCCATCAGGGTCATCCATTTCCCCATCACTGACAACTGGGTGAGAATGTCAGTTCAGGAAACCAAAAGAAATAACCAGGGTAGGGAAACCTTTTTTGTTAGGGGATTTTCCAGTGGGTAAATCTCGATGGCAAGGGGAAACAAAGTATGTTTCCGAAACACATCAGCACATGCCTCACAGGAGCTTCTGCAGAGTCTCTACATGGCTGTTTAAGACCCAACCCCACCCCAGATCCCCTTACAAGAGAATCCCGCGAACACTGAGCAAGGTCACCTTGCTGTGTGGGCTCTGGTCATGGCCAAGAGAATACCTAGTCTACTTATCCTCAAAACCCTACCTGCTTTGGACCCTCCGCTAGGTACAGAAGGCGGCAAAAGATGAGGAAGAAGGTATGTGTGGGCTGCACAACGTCATGGAGACTAAGCTAAGGGGCAGGAAGTGCAGCCCCTTCCCCACACACAATGTCTATTCAACAGGAACTCCAGGGAACTGGTTGCCTTTAGAAACAAAGGGGCAATTGGGGAGAACATGCTTACCCTTTTCCTTCTTAAGCTCGATCCCAAGTTACTGGAAACCTGTGCCCTCCACAGAGTATACACAAAAGACATCACTGTATTGGGACATTTATTGGGGGCCATCCATATTTTCAACACGGAAGGGGTTATTTGGGGGCGGGGGAGAGTAAGACATCCTTCCTGCAAATTCTAGTGAAGGACTTTTGCAAAGCTTGTGACAATTTTCTGGTCCTTGGTGTTGTCAATGAAGCTGGTTCTCCTTGTAACAGGGCCCCTGCTCTGCACTGAGGATGAAGAGGGGCTGGCCTGTCTGAGGGGATTTTCTTGGCCTCTGTTTTTCATGGTAGGACAAATCCATTGTAAAAAGTATTTCATCTTGTCTCTGAAGAGATTTTCAGGAGGGGGCTGTCCCCTCAGTGACAAGGCTGGGGAGGACTTGCTGCCATGAGTCTTTACTAATGGCCTGTCTTGGTCAGGGCAGCAGCTTCTTCTGAGCTGGTATGCATCCAGCCCTGCATCTCCACCACCAAGTTCTCTTGTTTTATGTGGCAATGGACACACTCTGTTTGCTTCTAGAAGGAATTTCCTGTCTTGGTATTTGCGTAAGATTTGCTTAGGGATCCAGGGCTCTTGCTGCTGCTCCACAGGTAATTTTGTGATGTTCGAGTGGGCATGCATCACCTGGGAAACTTCCATGATCCCACGGGAGGCTCTCTGGTCATGATGGAGTAAGGTCTTGCTTTTCAAGTTATTGGAGGCAAGGGGCAAATTACTAGGAATGCCCTGAGGCTGGCTCTTCTTTTTGTTTTCTATTTTAAACTTCAGCTCATTAAGCAGCTGAGTTTTAAGGTTTGGTGATTTAATGTCCTGGGGAGCTGCTGTTCTTGGTAGAAGCCTTTTAGCGGCCAGGGAAGATCCTGATTTACTTGTATTCACATCTCTCCTTATGTTGACCACTGATTTGCTATTCGAGATCTTGCTAGTCTGTGACTGAAGAACACGGAGCTCCTTTGCTTTAAATATCTCCCTGGACTTGTTGCACATGGGCAAATATTCTAACTGCATTGTTGCTTTTCTCTGCAGTCTTTCTTTGTCACTGCAAGAACTCACTCTCTCATTTACATTGGGGGCAGCCCCAGGCTGCCCTGTTGGTGGCTTTGGGTGGTAATTCTCATCTTGTTGGGTCTGCTTCTGACCCACTGTGTCTGGGGTGCTGTGTGTGGGGAGCAGAGAGCCCTGTGTGCCATTCTGCCCCGTCTGCATGTTCTCTGTAATCTCATGGTTGGTGTAAGTCTTGGGTGACTGACTCAGGGCCCCCGGTCCTTCCATGGCCACCTGTGAGGCAGCAGGGGGAGGAAGACTAACAGCTGAGCTAGTTTCCACTTTGTGTGCTTGAGCAGCATCAGAGCTTCTTCTAAGGGTCTTGCAGACCCCCTTTTTACAGTCTACATCAGAAATACGATTGTCTGACAAGCGAGATCGGGAACGAGAAGGAGCCGAGGACAGGCTCTCCTTTATGTTGGAGATTTCTATGGATTCCTGGACTTTGTGGGGAAGACCCCATGCCATTCTCCTCTGAAAAGTTGTAATATGGTCTTCCATCATCTTTTGTGTGCTAGAACTAAGGAAGGGAATACCCTGAGACCCGTCCAGGGAGCTGCCCTTATCCTCCAGTGGTGTTCCATCTCTTCTTTTTATTTGGCTGGAGGACCTCTCAGGAAAGGGGAGGTTCAGATTGATAGAATGCCATGATTTATTCACGGCATCAGGGAGCTGGCCCTCATGAATTTCCACAAATTTCTTACTTAAGTGTACTTTCAGGGTTTCCTCAAGTTGTTTTTGGTGTACACTCACATCTGAGGCCTCTGGATTTTCCACCACTTGGCTTTCCAGGGCTTTCTCTGAGTCAGAGCCCTGAGCACTATCTGTAATCCTGTCCTGGCCACTCAACAGGTTTTGGGCTTCAATCACTGGACTCTGCCCCTGGTTCTTCTCCACTCCCTCCTCTAAAGGCAGTATTTCCGAACTCCTCTCATTGACAAGCCCAGACTGACTCAGGTCCTTGCTGCTTTGACCCTTATATAAACAGATCCAAGAAAGCCCATAATTTCCCTTTGATTTGGAAGTCTGAGGGTCCTCGCTCCAAGGCTGCATCATTGACAGTGACTCATGGACTCTTCGGGGCAGGCCCCAACGGCGCTGAATGAGCCTCTTCCGAAGGTGGTGCTCTAGTTTCTTCCGCAGCTCACCGTGGCAGGGGAAATCTCCAAGTAAGATGGAAACTGACACACGAGGCTTGGAGGCCTGGCTAATCAGTGGAAGCCTCGGAGCTGGAGGACAGAAGTCTTCCAGCGATCTCCGGACCACAGTGGGCACACCCCACACTCTTTCCTGTATTTTCTGTAGTATATTACCTTCCAAGTGCTGCATTTCAGCTGGTGTAAGAGACTGTATCTCCCCCTGAGTGCCATGAAAAAACACTCCACATCTCCGAGGCTGGCACCGAGGAGAAGGCAGGAGAGGTAAAGGTGGGGACTGGAGCTGGGCCTGGATCTGCACAATAAGGGGACTAGAGGAATGAGACTGGGGCAGAGATTGGGGCAGAGTTTGAGGTTGGGTTTCAGACAAGGATAGAGATGAAGGATGCATGGAGGCTAGAGATTCATGGACTGAGGTGGTTCTGGAGATTGTATTAAAGCAAATAAAGATTGCAGAACAGTCACCCGAGGCAGGCACAATGGAGTTCAGTGACTCACTGTGGAGAGATGGAAGACCCCAGAAGAACTGGCTATATTTTTGCTCTAAGTGATCATCCAAGGTCTTGGGATCTGGTGGCTTCAGATGTGTGTGCTGCCCCTCTGGTTTGTCTCCACTGCTCCAAATAGGAAGGGGGCATGCAGAGTCTTGCAGATCAGTTGCTGACTCTAATCTTTTCCCTGAAAAATCTAGTGGGGAATCTGGTTGTTGCTGCTTTGGAAAAGATTCTGTTCTCTTTCCCTTTCCTTTGGCTATCAGTGAATCACCTCTCTTTTTAATTTGTCTTTCCAGGAGGGTCCAGCTGTCAGGGCTGAGAAACTTGAGGTTTCCAGGCTCTGCAGCGTAAGCTTCAGTGTCTCCCTGAAGGTTGTTAGTGGAGAACCCACCAGGGCTCTCATGAACTGAGGAAGTGCTTTCTGGCTGAAGATCCAATTTTGCTTGCTGAGTGTGACATAGAAAGGAAGGGGGAAAGGCAAGTGGCTCTGGTGGAAAATGATCCACCGGGGATTGGGAATCTAAGGGAGGAATAGGCTCTGCTGGCTGAGAGTCACCCAGTGGCACAGGTGATGGTGAGTCCACTAAAGAGGTGACCAGGTGAGGTGGGAGAACAGAGGGTGGAGGTGGAGAAGGCACAGGCACTGGGGCTGCAAGCAGGGGTCCTGGAGGGACTGCTGAGGTGGCAAAGTTCTGTGTGCTTGATGACTCAGAATCTGTGGAAGTCAAGCAGGTCACAGTATGAGCAGCATCTTCCAGGGATGCCTGAGAAAGCATTCGACTGACCTTAGCTGTTGTAGTGTTACACACATCACAGAGGGGGTCTGGACACAGCAACTGACGAAAATGAGTGGTATCAGGATGCTGGCCCAGGGGGCTGCAGGAGACAGAAAGCACATAGTTGTAACCAGGACCAGTGCAAGGGAAGGAAGGTCTGCTGACCTGGAGGGGAGGGGACCTGACACATTCTACTCCCTTCTCACTGCCACAGGGCTATGATGTCACAGAGCACAGCCCCATGACCTCACATAGCTTCTCTCCAAGCCTTCATTCATGCTTGGGGCTGTGATCCTGACCAGTGCTGAACCCATGGGAGGCATAGCGAAAGGGAATAGGAAAGAAGCAAGCAGCTCCTTAGTTACCTTTTCAGAATTGAAAGCAGCTTCCTCCCCTCCTGTCTTTCTCTTAGGTTTGCTCTCCAGCCTAGAAAAGCAGGGAAATGGGTGACATCTAATGAAGGTAGAAACACAGGGTCTTGGAGCACTGTAGGAGAAGCGCTTCGGGTATTTCAGTCCCAGTAATCAGCAGACAAGGCCTCACGGCCAAGGAGAATACTGTGTGTTCACCTGTGTGGATGCTTCCTCCAGCGCGGTGCGCAGAGGTCAGGGCTCACCTCAGAGCTGCACAGGAGAGTTCAGGAAGGAAGTGCTCTGCCCCATGGTGGGAGACGGGTGTGGCTCCCAAGCAACCCCCAGTCAGCCTGTTCTACAGCTCCTATCCACTGCCAGGTCTGTCCCTGCTTCACACCCACGGTGGGTGGGCAGGGCGGGGCTCTGAGAAGGCCCCAGGGTCTCGTGCCTTCCTGCAGCCCTTCCTCTGAGGCCTGTGCAGCCTGACAGACTGTGTTTGACTGTTAACATCTCCAGCGCTCAGAGACCTGGTCCCACATGGAAAGATCAGGAGGGCTCATCCTTGAGCAGCTGAGGTCAGAAAGGAAGAAATGTACCTTTAAGTGTCGTGCTTCTCCTCCTCCTCCTCCTCCTCCTACTTCTGTGCTGTAGCTGAGAAAAGAAATGAATAAGGGGTCGGATTCATTTATCTCATCCCTCTCTCCAGCAGCTCAGACAGTCATTAATCATTTAGCTCTTATTTTAATTAAGAGAGTCCAAAAACCATTTGACTCTTTTTACCCATTTGGTCCTTTTACTAATTTTAAAGACGATCCATTATTTTCAATTTTTCCATCTTTGAAAAACTCAGGAAAATTTTGGGATATCAACCCTGGATTTCTCAGTCAGAAATCCTCTGCTCCCAGAGGGAATAGTGACTAGGAAAACCGTGCTGCTGGTTGGGAGAGCCTCATGTGCTGGGGAGAGACCTCAGGCTCCAGACCCCCCTCAGAGGCTCTCCCAGGTCAGTGTTCTCTCCTTAAGGCAGGCTTGGGGAAGGGCCCCAGACAAGGGAACAGAACAGGGCTGGTGACAAGTATTAGGACAAATTGTTCTCCAGAAAACACACAACCTGTAACTGAGCCAGTCAGGACCAGGCAATCATTGCTTGGGAGCTTATCCTGGAGCCCTCTACCACTCCCAGAGAGGTACTTGTGAGCTTCAGATGGAAACATTAGTTCTCCCTCATCTCCTCCCCTTGCCTGACCATCTCTGCTAACTGGGTCTGCTATCTTCCCCGCAGACCTCGCTTCTTGGTTGTCTCCTAAGTCAACAAAACTCCTTTACTAATGGCAGGAAAGACATGGGAAAGAGCAGCAAGTAATCTCTGGGGATTGAGCTATGCTTCCTTACCTTTGGGTTATCTTTTTTGTCCCAGAAGGTTGGTAAAAATGGTTTCAGCAACAGATAGCCCAGGAGCAGAAGGAGCAACCCAACAGCATTCAGAAAGATGATGTTGGGGTCTGTATCTAAAAGTGACGCACCAGAGCTCAGCCATGGCTCCATGTAGCTATTCAAGACAAGAGAGAACATTCTCCATCATCTGAATCGCAAAGCTGCCTGAGGCAACTGAGTTCTGAGGGTGTGGGGGCTTGGCTGTATACCCTGCCTGCATCATAGAGCACAGGAGAGTCACAAAGGGACTGTCAGGGTGGGGGCCTCCCGGTGGCTGGGCTCACTGTCCCTCCCCACCCACCATGCAGCAGACTCCTCCAGCCAACCCCTCTTCCGTTCCCCAACTTTACTATTCCCTCTATCATGCGCTTACCTCCAGGAAGTGCTCTTTTTGTTCCATCTGTGACTGAGTCCACCACCACCTTTACCATTGTGATGTGGGAGAAATAACTCCCAGCCTATCAGAGGTCAGATGTGCTGAGTTTGCGGTTATATAATATCAAGGAATAAAGCCATAAACCAAAGGAGGAAGTTAGGACAGTATATTGGAAATAAGGAGGAGAAGAATAGCTCCTGGATTTTGGAATGGGGGCAGCTGGGGGTCCACCAAGGCTCTTTGTCAGGAGTGATTCATATTGTTGAAGAATTTCCAAGATTTTTAGGAGAACTTTGATGGCATATCATCCCAGCCACTAGAAATGCTCAACACTACGCTGGACCCCGAGCCTGGGAGAAGTCCTCTTTCATACCATTTATGAGGCTAAGCTAGCAGAAACACAGAAATGACAGGTGGTTCATCACCCTATCAGCTAACCCTTTCTTAGCCTTGAAAGAAAACACATCCTGTTCATCTTGGGCTGCTCAGATGCTGTGGAGCTGTCTTCCAGCCCAGCAGTTGGCTTTATTGGTACTGGTTCCCTGTATTGGCCTCTAAAGGAGCAGATTCCATGAGAGAACTGCCTGGTGCACCCTTTATCAGTTAGGAAAGGGCAAGACCTGGTGAGAAGGTGGGAGTCCACATTCCTGGGGACTCTCTTGAGCTGGAAGATTTTACAGAGGGGAAGAAGGCCAGGTTTCCAGTTCGGCTTTACTATACAGCAATCTCGCAATGTGGGTCCACATGGGTCAAACTGTAATCAACCTGTAGGATTCTAAGTACAGTCACTTAGCTAATATCGATCAGTAGGAAGCAGGCACATAGCAAGGATATAGTACCTGGGAAGAACACAGGCATTTCCAGAAAGGGATGGGTCCAGATGTTCTGGGAAAGCCACCTGGGCATCTAACACCTGCCTAGGCTGACTGGGCCTGGTGGTACTAATTACAATATCATCCCAAACTGCTGTTTATCTCTAGGCAGGCTTGCATGTGGCTTCCTCCGGGCCAGATCCCTCTCTGTCTACTCATCTCTATCTAATTTAGCTGTCTATAATGACTGGAGCATGTGGCTTGGTTCACATCAATGCCACTGCCTCAGCAATCTGACATAGTACCTGGAATGCTCCCCTCTGTCCAGACGTAGTAAAACAGTACAAAGGCTAAATGAAAATGCTGTATCCACAGAAATACAGACATCCCTTGACAATTCATTATTCTCAAATCCAAGAATCAATCATTTCTTCCTTTTAGTTCAAGTCTTCATTTGTTATTTTGGTCCCACTTCTTCTGAAATGAAAACAACCCCTGCCCTTCACATCAGTTTAAGACATGTATGATTCCCCAAAGCAGGAATCGGGTACGGTGCAAAGAGACTGATCCCATCAGTCCTTAAAGAGGGGGGACCCAGTGTGTCAGAGCCTCAGGATGGGGCCTAGGCCTGTGCAGCCTCGTCAACAGCTCTGAGGGACGTGCAACTATGGGGTTTTCCTATGAGGGTTTCCCTACACACAAAATTTGAGAAGATCTGCTCTACATGACATGGTAACCCTGCAGATGTCCCAACTCAGCTGTCACCCTCTATTCAGACTCCTTCCATCAGATTTAAATAATCCCCAAGTCCCACACAGTACCTTTCTTCCTAGCTCTCTTTCAGATGCCTTTACCATCCTCTCAGCTGTCCTCTGAACTGTCTCTGAGACTCGTGACTTTCTTAAACATAAGGTCGTTTATCTGACATCCACATCTAGCACTGTCACTTGGCCTTCTTGAGGATCGGAGCCTCCCAGCCAAGCAGTACCTCCTTTGAGTTATGCAGGAGCAGGGAACCTACCCAGAGGCCAAAGTCTGCCAAGAGCACTGCTTCCCTTCTCCTTGACAAGCACCCTCAGCTCAGTTTTCACTTAACAACTTCTTACCGGTGGAGACAAGGAGACCCAGACATCAGCAAGTCCCAGGCTCTGCCCTCAAGGAGCTCATGCCGAGGAGGCTATAGAGATGAGTCCCACACAGTTCAGGAGCCATGCACATGTAGAGGAGAGGCCCAGCTCTGTCCCCCACCTTTACCAACTGCCAAGCCATCTGCAGAATAAATGGGAAAAGTGGGTGCTTACTGCTGCGATGCACACCCAAGGCTGCCCTGCCTCTCTCCCCAACTTTTCAGTTAGAATTAATGATTCTCTGAGACAATGGTCAAAGATCAGCTTTTAAGGTGATATTGTTGGCTGGATGACCTTATATTTATACGTGTGCCTGGAGTTAAAACCCACAATAAGTTCCAATAATTAAAGGAATCGTGCCATTAAGAATATTTGCTTTGTACTTGAAGTGATGGCAAATGTAGGAAGTACAGGAAAGTTGCTTTTGGTGCCCTATTGCCTCTCCAGAAACTACCTTTCCACTCTTAGCACCAGTGTCTTCATAGTTTCTCTCTATTGTCCTCTGAAATCCTGCAAACTATGTGTGACTCACAGTTGGGCCTAATGAAATAATACAGTTTAAAATGTCCTCTCCCCCAGGAAAACATCTCCCATATTTGTGTCTGGCTGACCGGTCATGCGGGCACTTCAGGCAGCCACTGGGAGTTGGCAGAGGTGGTTTCTGGGGCCCCATCCTAAGATCTCCCACCCCATGGACTCCTCCCAGGTGACCTGGTGCCAAATTTCTCACTGCACTTGCTCAGATTATCTCCAATGTGGAGGATTTTCCGAAAGCTCTGCTAGAGAAATATGCAGCCATGTGAGGATTCTCCGTATAGCTAAGTTCTCAGTTTAGGATTCTTACGTTCTCTGTGTCTGGGATCTTTCCAGAGTTCTCTCTCTCTTTCTGACCTCTGTCATGGGATGAACCACTTGGAGGCTGCTGTTTTCAGGGTTCCCAGAAGGCTGAAGACAATCAGAATCTGAAATAAAGTCTTAAAAGCCCGCTGAAAACTACCATCTCTGCCTTGTAACCTTTTAGGACTATCACAAAACAGGACATTGCTCCTGCCCTTCAGGAAGGTCATA